GCACATTAAGAAAGGGGAACAATGCAAAGCCCAGTGTTTGCTGGATCTGCCACCATTCTGCAATTTGCAAGGGAAAGCCCTGTTAACAATAACTCCATCACTGGTGGGGCCGCTCAGCTTGACCTTCAAGCCTTCCAGAAATGACTGCCGGAATCAAAACTGTGATTTTCTAAAGCAGCCATTTTCCCAATCACTGCTTCTTAGAGCAGGCACAGTGAATGGCTCACGCCTCAAAACGCATTTCTCATTTTAACAGAACACAAGCAGAAAAAGCCTCAGACAATCATGAAACATGTTGGGTTTTCAGCACCACGTTACCCCGTGGTGTTCTGCAATCAATTACTGTTATACCACCATCATTAATAATTTTCTTAATGAAAGTGATTCTGTTGATCTCCGTTGTATTTTAATTATCAGAGTTAAGCATAATTACATTGCAGCTCTGAGCTGGCATGTGGACTCCTTTAGGGCGCAATTTTGTTTTAACACACTGATAATGTAATTTTACATTGTGTCAGTTTGTTTGGTTATTATCCAGTTGTACAATTCCACTGTATTCCAGATAACAGATAATAACCTTAGTACCTCCTATATCCTGAAGTCATTTAAAAAGCAATATTGGAATTCTAAGACTAGCTAACTTAATCGTCTTATGATTTTATAATTCCCACTGCTAAATATTTGGTTCAGGCACCCACTCTCTTTCAAGAATACAGTAAAATGAGACGACATTCATACATGTTTTTGTATTAATTTACTGACTACTTAGATACATGTTTAAAGGTGAACACTGTCTTCTTTTTAGATTAGTTTATTATTTGTATGCAATTAGAACCCGTAGATAAAGTAATGCATTAGCTTGCAGACTACTTTGAGAATTGGCCATCATAATGGACAAAGCTAGTGTATCAAAGTTTTAGGAAACTCCACAGCAGATCCTCTGTCTTGAAGTGAATCATGGTCCCGATAGTTAAATACATTTGTTTTTGAAGCATGATCAGTTTACTCTGGGTGCAGAACGATTCTCACCCACGGTAGATCTTATTAACATTCCAGTCTGTCATTACTTTCATATTGCCTAGTATAGGGTTTTGAACAGAGCAGACAATCAATAAAGACTTAATTGATTAATTGCATGACCAAATGAGTACAAAGGTACAAGTCAGAACTTTGAAAATGGTCATGCAAGGCATCAATGTGCAGCTCCTGCGTGAGTTTCAGTTGTAGCTGCCTCTGAAGCAACCAAGGTGAACATGCAGGTGTGGTCACTGCTGTGTGTTCTAGAGCACTGCCTCTTTCAAGAAAAACCAAAGCAAGAAAAATAACTCCACAGGTGAACACGTATGTCATTTCCAAAGAAGAAAAGTAACCTGTAACTTTGGCCTAGAAAGGGGTGGCTTCAGAATCAATGCCAACTGTATAAATAGTCACGGGATTAATCTTGGAATGGAATACCAGCCTCATATCACAGGAGCTATTTTTTTGTGTGTCATTGAGTTGTATGCCTCTGAACTTGTTTCTCACTTCATGGGATAGAAGAGTGCTGTTCATAGCACGTGGATGTTGGAACAATAAGCAGGAAAATGTGCAGAAATAATGAGAATGGTGCAATGAGCAGACATAGACTAATGAACGATGACAGATATTATTAGTATTAATAGAATCAGCACTTTAATCATCAAATTCACATTTCCATAGGATCCTCATTAAAAGTAAAACCACTGGGTAAACTAGACAGGTAAGCAGGTAACCAAGTTCAGGTGTTCCAACTGGAAAACAAGAGAATTAACTCGTACAAGTTTTCCTCTGGACCTCCACACACGTGCCATGGTATGCCTGTCCCCCACCTTACACATACACAAATCTATAAGTAAGTACATAAATAAATAGGTAACGTCCAAAGACAGAACAATACCATGTGCCCAATTAATAACAAAACCAATGGGTACCTAATACAAGGCTTTGGGTCTCTGAGTCTGTGACACATTTTTCAAGCGAGATAAGTAGACTTGTTGCTACTGAATGAGAACGGTAGAATGTTCCCTCTTAAACCACAGAAAGCCTTGTATTCTCACATATCATTAAGACCTGGTTCCATTATCTATTAGTTCATGTATTTTTGACCCTAAGGATGGACTTGGTTGAAGAGATGGTAACCAGGAGTATGATGGCTATGATAACACACAGGCTTATGTCTGTTAGTATTCAGGCATCTGTACCGGCCTGCCCTTGGGGTCCTGACAGGACACGCCCTCAGCTGCACACACTAAGGACACCACCTGTGCACATTCACTACGTTCCCTTTTAAAGGGCCCCGCCCACCTCCCATTTTTCTCTGTTTCTCTGCCTGTCTCTCTCTCTCCTTCTCCTTCTCTCTCTCCCCACCATCTCTCTGCCTTTCTCTTCTTTTCTGCTGTTCCTATCCCCAAAGGCTGGTCTCCCCTTACCCCTCCTCCCTTTTCTCATTCACTTTTCCCCAATTAAAAAAAAAAACCCTCCAGCCAAGCTCTGTCATATGATGCCTTTCTCTTGCATGCTGTTCCTTTAAATTACAAGAAAATCCCACCAAGAATCCATTGGTCTCTATACACATAGCTAAGAAAGACACTATTTAGAGATGATAAGTTATTTGCCCCCGACTCAGGTGGAGATGTTTTTAACAATGAGCCATGCTCTCACACATAAAGGAACTGTAGTAAATGGAAATGAGGGCTCCTAGATAGTTTTTCATTCTTTTGATTGACATTGTTGACTTAGTACAGAGACCTGGTGAGTGGTTTATTTAGAAGAAATCACTCGGTGAAAAATTAACATTGAAGCTGAAGCAATTGAAAAATGTCCAAGTGGAAGAAACTAAATGTTTAGTTTTGACCACTCAGAATGTCCAACTAACTTTTCTTTTTGTGTGCATGATAAAGCAGCCGTGGTTTCCAATGCACAGAAATAGACGGGCAACACTCAATGGTGGGTTTTGGCAGTACTGCCCTGTAAATACTCTCTCCTCTCACAGGACTCCCTAGAATGGCAGGGTGAGAATGTTCAATATATTGTCTTTTGAGATAAGGTATCAGAATTATCTACGGTCAGCCGGGCGTTGGTGGCGCACGCCTTTAATCCCAGCACTTGGGAGGCAGAGGCAGGCGGATCTCTGTGAGTTCGAGGCCAGCCTGGTCTACAAAGTGAGTTCCAGGACAGCCTCCAAAGCTACAGAGAAACCCTGTCTCAAAAAAAAAAAAACAAAAAAATTTATCTACGGTCTGTTGAGAATAATGGCAACAAACAGATGACCAACAATTCTAGCCTACCATTGTCTGGAAGGGCACAGGAGAGTTGAGCAGCAAAAACACATCAGAGTAGGATGTTAAGGTCAAAAAACTGTCTTATTATTTTTTTTATTTTGACTAAACAGAATGATACCACCTTGTCAAATAGCTCTAAGTGACAAAAAAGTGACTTTTAAATACCCATTTTATGGACACCTATAAAATGAAAGCTTTATAGTTACATTTAACTTGGTCATTATCCATATTTAACATTATTTTAAGTAAGTTTGAGTCATAAATAGTAACAGTATGAAGCCTCTTTTTATCCTGTAAAAACATTATTATAAAAATTCTTTCAGTTAAACCACTTCTACAAAATTCTACACATACAAAATTTATATTGTATTTGCTGATATGCTCTGAGATAGTTGGGACCTGTGGTAATGGTATTGACATAGAATTCACAAGTAGTGTGTGCAAGTATTTGGTCAGAAAATAAATAAGGAACACACACAGTCATGTCATTAGGAACCTAGGCGCAAAGGAGTTTTGTACGGATGATCTATGTATCTGAGTACCTGGAAGCTGCCCACAGGTGAGCCTGTGCTATTTGAACAATTGTTCCTGACCCCACTGGCTCAGTTCAGACTAATTCTCTCAGTCTTCCAATATGAGTCCTGTGTGCCATGGTCAATCACTGGTTCTGTATCACTCAACACTCAAGATTGCTTGGGTTTCACTGGTGTTACTGTGCTTGCAGAACAAGTCTGGGACTAGCCACCACCAGAGATCCTGTCTAATGATGCTCCTTGCTACTTACCCTAGGAAGGAAGGTCATAAGACAGAAGTAGACTAAAGATAAAGTGAGAGCAACTGCATCAAACTGTCCCTAAAGTCCAGAGTACCCCTGCAATCTTAGTTATGCAAGCAGACTGCTCCCCCAACTCCCAACAACACACCCACAGTGTACACATATGCACAGAGAGACAGAGAACATGAGGTTCTGTTTTCCATGATCCAAATGATACTCTGCCCCTCCCACCCCCAAGGCAGTCTGAATATTCAAAATTCCCTTCAGTTTTCTGAAGCCCTGTGGAGATCTAAGTAGACTTCAATGATTTCCCAAAGTTTGTTCCTTAGGGAAGCACTGTTATCCATAAGGTACTCGTTGAGAGGGGAAATGAAATACATTTTCACATTCCTGGGTATTTTACAGCAGTAGTTGAACAAGCAGTAGTTGAACAACCAGTACATATGGTGAGCTTTCGAGACAGGCAGCAAGTATTTGGTCAATGGCTCCTTCTCACTTGTAGGATTCTACAGAATATTTGGGGAGAAATGTTCTATTTTAAGATATGTATCTTATGAATTTTAGGTATAATGGTCTGACTGTTTTAAGGGAATTTATGATGAAGTAGTTGAACAGGGAAAGGTGTGGTCATGGGGTCCAAGGAACACAGGATATGGAGTTGCTAGCACCTGGGTTGAATTTGCCTCCATTGTTAGGTTGCTTGACTAAAGACAATTATACTGTCTCTCTCGCCCTTATGCACATAAAGTAAAAAAAGCATGAATGAAATCATTAGGCTGTCTTAAAGCTTCGTGGAGAGAGGATAGTTTTTATTGTGTACAAGTAGACCTTAAGCTATGGAACATTTATTGTTTGTTAGCTTCATAACTACAATATGTAACTTACCTACCTAACTAATTCTCTTATTTATCTTTTGTCAAATGGAGACGCATACCTGTTAACTTGTAGGAGATGAGAGGAAATGAAGCAATAGAAGATTTATTGCCCATCTAGTACCTGAATTCTTATAAATTACACAATGTTGGATAACTTTCTGCAGCCTAAAAAAATGAATGATATCAGCAATAAATGTCATTTGATATTTTATGTGGTATGTCTATTACAATGATTGGCAACTATTTATCATTTATCCAATCAAATCAGTATTCCTTCTTTCCTTCCTTCCTTCATATCCTTCCTTCCTTTTTTTTTTTTTGTGCAGAGAGCACACCTGGCTACGAACAGAGAATTAATGAAACATACCCCTTACTTCCAGTAAATAGACAGTTGATGAGATAGGGACAAGAAAAAGCCAACTTCATTTGTTTCCTTTTCTTGGACATGTAACAACTGATCATAAAAATACAATGATAGGCAATGGGAAAAGTGTATATACTTTGGGACAAGATCATTAAGGTCAGGACTTAGGAATGTTCAAAATTAGTAGCTATCAATGTGTAATGCTAATACAGGGTGAGACCTAATGCATGCCTGGTAACTAATAATCTTCTGAAAATTGCCCAGAACTTAACTATTGAGAAAAGGCTTGGAGAATAAACAGCCATAATACCAAGACAAAATTGTGTTCAATGTTCAAGCTAAAGCACTCAACTGAAGTGACTATGGGATTATAATTTTAATTCTGAATTATCTTTCCTAAAATAATCCCCAGATATAAGTACAGTGGGTTTGGATCATCTCAGAGGAAGGGTATTTCCACTGTTGTTTCCCCAGTGAAGCTCAGTTATTATTGGGCAATAGAAATCTAATACACATAATGGGACCTAGGAGCCCAGAACTATGTCATACTTGTCTTATGAATGTGGGGACGAATAAACCAACTCACTATATTCTATGTTGATGGGCTATACTAACATAGCCAAGGGAATTTTCACTTCTCCTTTAGTTAAGAGATCCCATGAGAACAGAGCAGATATTTCATTGGCAGATCTGTGACCAGCAGTTACAGGAGGGAAAGAAATATAATCAGATCCTGGTGTGCAGATTGTGTATTTAGCTTGCAAATTCCCTCTTTCCGGTGTTTCAACTTTCAAAGGCTCAGGGTAGTTTGGAGGCAATCCTCTTACAAATGTACAAATTGGAATGATTATAGGAACAAGTTGTAATTGTTTCTAGCAAGTTTTTAAGCGCCTTTGATGTTATGATTAGTGTTTTATATGTTAATGTATTGATAGGGGCGCTTATTTGCTTGGTCCCTTGTATGCTTTCATGGCTTCTAGGTTCAATGAGCAAACCAATCTTTGATCTCAGTAGGTCTATTTGGTTTGAAAAAAAAAAAAGAAAGAAAAAGAAAGCTGAAGGAAATGAAACATGAGACGCAAAAGGGTCTGCAATATTCACGATGACGAAGTGAGACAGGGAACTTCACTGTGAGAACACTGAGTCAGAGCCTGAAACTTAGAAGTAGAGAAAACACACAAAAAACCTACAAGGCCCATGCTCCAGTCCCCAACCCCAACACACATCCCTGTCTCAAGGCGAACTGTCTCACGATGTGTCCTCACCATCCTAGCTTCAAGAGGTTGGCTAGACTGACGCCATGCTGGTGGGATCAAAGGCAACCCTCTACAAGCCATCAGGGTCGTCCTGCCCATTAGCCTCATGCCCTTTGCAAAGCATCATGGGGCAGAATTTGGTCTTTGGAAAGGTGGTTTCACTTTCATCCTGCCTGAGCTCTGGAATCTGATTGCAAGGTTGTGGCCCCGGAGGCAAGCCTTTGGACACGATCTGTTACATTTCAAAAGGAGTCTACACTCTTTGGTCCAATAACGCCCAAGAAGGGGAATCAGAGACTTCATAAAACCAGGCGGCTATCCACAAAACTAAGAGCCAAGAGAAGGGAACACCAGCCAAGCCACTCACACATGGGGCTTAGCAGAAGGTCACGGCAAAGTAAGGAATGTGGTACAGAAGTAAAACTCAGTGGGCGTCACTGAAAACAGACACTAGAGAGCATCCCGAGTGAGAGGGGAAAGAGGCTCACGTTATGCACACACGGTCCTTGATCCCGTTCCTCGGGAGCCTCGTCACCGAGACTCAGATTTCAGTGCCACTAAGGAGACAGGGAAAGGGTCACGAGGTTACCTTTGCTGTACACGATGCAGTTGTTTTTGCTGTCCTCCACTCCTTGCCAAGTCACGTCCAGAAGCCATTTGGGACCAGCCGTCAGCACCATGGGGACCCGAGCCTTTGTCTTCTGCAGAACGATAACAAACAGACGTCGTTTGCTCTCATTGATTAGAAACGCGAATAATAACTGTATTAATCATTTCTTTTTCTTTCTTTTCTTTCTTTTTTTTACAAACAACTAAATCTCCCATGCCATAATCTAAGGCCTTATTCCCCTGCCTCACGGTATTTTTTTTTTTTTAAGATGACAGAAGCCCCAAGGTTTTGCTGTTTTCACTAATCTTGCATGGTGGAATTATTATCTAGGATTTTGCCCCCTAAATGTTACTGGATCAGATCTCCAAGATTAGGCAGATCTCTTGTGGCTCTGAATTATAAAAGAGAATGCAGACAGCTTTCATGGCCAAGAGCAGAGGGGTTTGGAAGTGAACTTTAGACACATTGTACTTCACTATCAAAGGGATCTCCTGATTTCTGGAAACAGGAAAGAATTTTAAGAACCAGGATCCATTTCAAAGCTCTGTCCTGAGCAACATTTATATTAGAGTCTGTGCTTATTTGGAATGAATAATGAAACCCATGAACTGTCTTTGCCGAAGTATGGCTATGTGGTCTGACTACAACTGCAATAATAACGATGCTAATGACCCCTCCACCACGCACTGTCTCCAGGAAACTGTAAAAGAGCAACCCTGAATAAATCAAATACACAGAGACAGAATCATGAGTTGCCCTTTGCCTCAAATAAACCTACAGGCAGGGAGGCCAGTGCTACCGTTCTAACCAAACGTACCGATGATAGGTAAATTTAATTCTCATAAGATTCGACACTTCTGGTAACCAAAGTATTTACCTTTAAAACCCATTTGATAAATTTACACGACAAGAAAATAAACCAGGGAGGATATCGGGAAAGTCTCAGGGGAAGGTGCTTCCCCGATGAGTCGCAGCAAACTGGCATTCAGACTTATCATCCGACAGCCCGTGTTCCGTGTATCAAATATCAGGAAACCACAACACTGAGGACAATACGAGGGTCTCAAGGTAATTTCTGAACTGAATTTTCACCTAGATATGATTCTGCCAGAGAAATCTCCGTTCATCCTGGGACTTCCTCACATGTCCCGCGCTATCGTGGATTCCCCAAACTGACATTCACAAGTATTCACTGGAGGATTCCTGTGTACTGTGGCAACTTCAGACCTCACAGGAATCCGGAAAGCCCTCTTCACCGACCTCACAACAACAGCAAGGCGTGTGTGTGCTACATACCAATGCATTGCAGTGGCAAAGCCATGTTCAAAACTGTACACATGGAACAGAGGCTGACTCAATTCTTTAAGTTACAGACATGTCAGGTAAGGCAATGGCTACAAAACAATGCTAGTAAAAATTCAACCGTGAAGGATAAATTTATAAACAAGTCTGAAATGTTAGCTGGATCAGGGGTGTGTAAGGTTTGGGTAGCTTAGCACGTCTGGACACTCCTACTAAGCCACGTGAGCCCCATCTCCATTAAAATCCCCTACCATGTGTGGCTTGTCTTTTGATGGCACTAATAACCCTTCTTACAGAGGGTGACCCAGCTCGGACACCCCTTGGGGGAGGGGGTGAGAAGACACAGCACCAACCACTCAGGCTCTGGGAGTCAGTGAGTAGCAGAGCAGGCTGCAGACTCGTTCACTGAGGAAGTTAGACCTGACTTTATAACCCCTCCCAAGGTCCCATTGGCTCAGGCGCTGATTCTGCTGTGTGTCCTTTCCTCATTGGTGTCTCTGGTCAGGTGTCACTGTGTCAGCATCTCTGGGTGTAGAGGCAGGCTTGGCTCAGGGAGGAAGTGCCTGGTGAGCATGGGCATACGGGCTAGGGCAGGGCTATTGAGGCTTGTGTAGGCTGGCCACAGTTTCTCCTACAAATTCTAGGAATTATCTAACCCAAAAGGCCAATCTGCCTCACTGTCCTTCTTGAACACCAAACCAGAAGCCTTCCTTTATGCAGTCTCCAGGAAATCTTAGGGGATGGTAAGTAAGTCAACTGACTTATACCCCAATTTTCCACTCACCTCTCTCTCTCTCTCTCTCTCTCTCTCTCTCTCTCTCTCTCTCTCTCTCTCTCTCTCTCACACACACACACACACACACATATAAGGAGACAAATTGTCGGTACTGCTCTTGGTGCTAGAAACCCAAGTCTTTTTTTTTTTTTTTGATAAAAGATGCAGGTGAAGATGTTAGATGGTTAATAAAATATGGAAAATGGTTTGAGACTCATTCAAAAGCAAGGGGGAAGTGTCCATCCTGTTATATTCAGGGGATACCAGAGAGGCAACTTGCAGGAAGAAGGCGGAGTTACTGGGATCACGTGACCAAAAGCTGACCAGTATGTTAGAAAACAGTGTGTGCGGCACTACCTCCCAGAACTCTGTGTTTACGGTCTCAGCAATTCTTCAAAGCTTTTCTGAGTGTGTACAAATCCCTGGAAGAGAGGCTAGCTTCCATCATCACAATTGCCATCACTGTGCTTCTTACTCATAAATTGAAAACTTGAAGGGATCTCTTTGGGATAAAGGACTTGGGATATCTGCAAGGATGTCTACACTCCAGGCAAAACCTTATGTGATTAACTCTCTAAGCAGACACAGCCAATAGAAACAGTTTCATAGATGGAACTTAAGGGGTAGACTGTGGTAGGTATTTGCTCTATCTTTCTTACTGACAAGGAAATCAAGCCTGAATGATCAATAATTTCCTAGAGGTCAAATATCTGATAGAAAGCAGCGTGTGTGTGTGTGTGTGTGTGTGTGTGTGTGTGTGTGTGTGAGTGTGTGTGTGTCTCTCTCTTTCTGTGTGTGTGTGTGTGTGTGTGAGTGTGTGTGTGTCTGTCTCTCTCTTTCTGTGTGTGTGTGTGTGTCTCTCTCTTTCTGTGTGTGTGTGTGTGTGTGTGTGCATGTGTGTTTCCCAGCATGCTCTCACTAAGTGACATCAAACATCCTCAGTTTTCTAGGACTGACCGTTCTGAGGCACAGGGATGGCCGGCTCTTCCGAGTTTCTACTGCTACTGAAACAGTATCAGCAGTTTACATCTACCTAATAACCTGCTGCATGTGGACCGTTAAGTAATCCGACTGAACGATGTCTTTTTTTTTTTCTTGTTACTACTTTACCACCAAATGATAATACCCCGGTCCCCCACTATTTTGTGGTTCAACGAGCTAAGACTGAAGAGGAGATGACTGTGTGACTCGAG